TTAAACTTTCCGAACCTCAATTTTCTCGTATGTAAACTGCGAGCATTACATGGTTCCCTTTAGGATTACATGAGAATTAAGTCGAATAATGTATATGAAAATGATTTGTTAAATTATGTATTACTAAATTATATCATACTAAAGTCATTTTCCCTCAGTAGCTCTCTTTCAGCTACTCTCCACACACAGGATAACCTGTGATGAAACAGACGGAAGATTGAGGAAATTTATATATTGACTTCCATGTAAATATATACACATTATATTTAAAATGCTTTACAATATGAAAAATACCTTTACATACTCTACCTCACAGAAAGATCACACAACTCAGCAATGCAGGCATTATTTTGCCAATTTTATAGACAATAGAACTAGAAAAGTTATATGATGTATTTAAGACATTCCAACTAAAAGTGGTAATTCTTGGACTAAAATTCAGGTGATACAGTCCAGTTCTCCGTCCCTACACATCACCTGTTTGTCCTATACCTACTCTGTAAATTCACACGCACCAAAGGTACTGCTCATGTGTTCCATGTACAGATTAAATTCAGACGAAGATATCCTCCTCTCCATGTTAGCTGACGTATTACTTTCCCTTCACATATGTAAAAGTCATGGCAGAGAAAAGAGACAGGAGGGGGAAGAAACAGGAGGACTTCGTGGCAGGGTGTGTGTGCATGTGCGCGCGCCCGTGCGTACATGTTTGAGCTCACGCACCTGTTGGAGATGGCCAGACCCAAACCACTCCAGGGTTCAGGTTCAAAATTCTGAGGCAGTTTTCATCTCTAAAACATTTCATTCAGATTTAAACCCAGGAATCATGTGATTAAATTGACTTCCTTATATTTTTATGACATGAGTTGTGGTCATTTTTTTCCCTAATGCTGAGAAACACTGCTTGAATGTTGGAGACTACATTTAAAGTTGCATGCTCATCTGAAGGATGACTATAACCATTACATATAAAACATTTTGCATACACTTATATAACTACCCACATCAAAACACAGAGCATATCTATGGTTATATCTAATTTTAAATCCCAATCTGGAGGTGGTTATATGGGTGTAAACATATATAAAAATTCACTGAGCTGTATGTACACTATGATGAGTTGCTGTAAGATGTCACAAATTCTGACTACTCATTTTATGAGTGGCCATTACTCTCTGAGTCATACTTTTTCTTAGCTCCCAAAAAGTGTAGGACAGAATCACAAGTGAGAATCCAAGGAAGGGGATGTTGGGGAAAACAGCAATGTCTTCAATGTTTAGGTCCTAACGTAATTTCTATTTCAAATATCTCCAACAGAATCCCCTTCTCCTCAGCACATGGTAGTGAGAAATTACACAGCCTCATGTGGCTGATGAGGTGCAACACACTGTGGTGGCAGTGGTGTTCGTGTGTGTGTGTGTGTGTG